TTCACTTTTTCGAAGTACACAACCTTATGTTCACTGAACGCACCTTCTTAGGACCTAGCCTGACCAGTTATATACCATTTCGTAGAGAATTGAAAGGCGAATCTTTTGATATAAGAATGATCTCGATTGACTTTGAGGAAGAGAAGGAATTTCAAAAACACTGACAGTCTACGTAATTTATTCTGCGCCACCCGTTATACTTAGAAAGTGTAATAAGATATTATTTTTAATACGAAAATTTAAACTTCTCTTTAGCACTAGTACTCAGCAACAGATCTACCAATCTTTACTTTAGTCGATTATTCTTTATGGTTGCGAAGTTTATTCTAGCACTACAGATGAAAACATAGCAAAAATCGAGCGGTTTCAGTACGGACTAGGTAAGGTAGTTAGTGGCGCGTTACACCTGACTAGTAAAAAGAAATTACTCAAAGTTTTAGGATGGCTATCGTTTAGTAAGGTATTTGAATATCGAAAAGTGAGTCTCAAGCAAAAAATTGTGATAGGAAAAGCACCTGACTTTCCAAAAAGAACAATAAGTATTCATGAGGACCATACGAACGGCTGAGAAAAATGACCTTTAGGGTTTGTCCAAGCATGACGCTGTGACATTTTTGACATAGTAATTTGAGGTTTTCTCAAAAAGTGTAAGAGCTAGAAACTTCGTTCTTGCGCCATTCGACGTAGCTCGCCATACTCTACTTTTGGTATAAAAATGAAGGTATGTGGTTAAAGATTCGAATTTTTAGAACCATTTTCTGGCGAGTGACGCTGTGACAAAAAAAGGCCCTAAATTCGAAGTGCTTCTCATTAAAAGCTAATTTGCTGCGAATTTAGAAGAACTAATAAAAAGCGCATCGAGCAAAGTTTGTAGAGGAGTAAACGAGCTATTGATTGTCAAAAAAGAATCTTTCCAATAAGCTTTCCATCCCTCACTAATTGTGTTTTATCGTTGTGACGTTGTGACACCCTTTTTTACCTACAAAGTTTGGAGCACTAAACATTGCACAAAGGATTTCATTTTCACATCAGACTTAGTTTTAGGCATCTAATATAGACTAACGTGAAAATAAAGCTGAAAAAATGTTTTCACTTTCTTAGAATTGTGTCAGAAACTTAAAACTTTATTAAAAAGCTTGTGTTGAGCCTAAACTTCAAAAGAAACATATCATCTTGTAGAGAATCGAATTCTCTATCGATTAGTGTGGCCTTCTATTTTTATTAGGAAAAGTGTCTAGGTGAGGAAATCGAAAATACAGTTTTCAAAAAATGTAAAACTGAATTTTTGATGCAAAACTTTAACTTTTTTAAAAAACTAATGTGAGATTCGTAATCAGTGCCAAAAACTGCATCTAGTGATATGCTTCTTTCAGTTCTACTCTACAATAATTTTTTCAAAAACTTAATCAACGAAGTCTCGAGTTAGCTGGACAAGCCGTTTACAGGAGAAAAACGACTTTTCCGGGGTACCATTTTCAATCGTATTGTCAAAAGGAAGTCCACCTAAAACGAAACATGAGAGCAAGTGTTATATTTCACTTTGTTCAGAATTTTATGCTCTATCTAACGGTAGCTTAAACAAAAGGTTTCATGACCTTGTTACTGAGAAAACAAGCAAATAGTAAAAAGTGGCCATTTTTTTGCTTAAGATCGATGACACCTATTGAAAGAAATTTTCATATTTCCGGATAGTTGAGCTCTCTTGAGCTAAAATTTTGTATTTATAGGCTTTATAATATGTTGTGTAAAATGAGAATAGTTTCGGGGAAAGAAAATAATGACATATGAAAAAGTACACTAAAATGCTCAATAGACTCAAAAAACCTCTCATAAGCTGTGAATAGGACAAAAATTCTATCAAACAATTTTTCTAAAAGTCAGTACCCAGGTCCATGATTACGACCGTCCTATACGGTCGTATACGTCAAATTACGACGACATAATTTGACGTATACTATAGTATTTCGCTGTATTTTGACGTAAACCCGGCCAACGTATTACGTCAGCCGTTACGACCATCGTATTCCGTCATATTTGAAAGTAAACGACGTCGTTTACGATGGACGTAATACGTTGGCCGGGTTTACGTCAAAATACGACGAAATACTATAGTATACGGTCGTGAATCTTTGACCTGGGTGGTCATAAATGAAACTTAGACGAAGTTTTGGACTTACTGTTTTTTCTTACAATCTAAGAAGAAAGAAGAAAAATTGAATCATAAAAAGCAGTCTGAGAAGAGTGAGTGCATACCTCAAGTTAGTCTGGACTTGTTGGATAAAATTTTCAGTTCTGACAATTTCTGGATGATCAGGTAGAACTACATGACGATAAATGTCCAAAGCTTTATTTAAATTGAATAAGGCTTGTTCATAGTCATGTTTGAGTTGATAAGCCCGGCCAATATCCTCGTAAATGTTGCCAGTTACTTTGTGGTAATCAGGCAATGCTTTTATTTGCATGCGTAATGCGGTCTCTAAATGTTGCAAGGCCGAATCGTATTCACCCATATGAAGATAAACCTCGCCGATATTCAAGTATGGTATTATTAGATCAGGGTGGTCCGGTGGACGATGTTGCTTATCTATCTCCAAGCATTTATAATAAGAATCCAAAGCTAAATCGTATTTCTCCTCTCCGTCGTAGATAATACCCATGTTATTGTAGCAATTAGCAGCACGTGGATCATTTGTTTTGTTGAATATATTCAACGCAAGTTCATAATTCTGCAGAGAAAGTTGATTTTCGCCTTTTTCTCGGTGTACTTCGCCAATACAATTGTAACAATCAGCCAAATCATTAAGATCAGACGGAAGGATTTTACGATAAATGTCAAGTGTCCTATTGTAGTAGTCTAGAGCAGAATCGAAATTACCCTGATCGCTTGCAGCATTTCCAAGGTTGTAATAACATATTGGAATATTTGGATCATTTTCCGGTAATTCAGATAATAATCGTTTGTAATATTTTTTACTGTGTTCATATTTTCCCTGTTGCCGCAACAATCTGCCGAGTGAAATTAAGGATGTTTCTTTATTTCCACGCGCATCCTGTTTCATGTGTTGATAGAGTTCCCTGTAATCATTATCATCGTCGCTGCAAAGTGTTAGTGCAATAATCGACACTTGATGTTCATTGTCGAAGTAAATCTGTTGAATACGGAACACGGAGCCAATCGAAAAAAGAATTTCCTCTTCTCCACCATAAAAACTCAACGATTGTATGCTGGCGAAGGGCTTCCTTGATTTAATACGAGTGTCAGCACTGATTTCAAACAGAACTGGCTGAAGGTCACCGGAGGATGCGCGGGAGGAGGCAAATTTAAGTGACACGGACCGGTTTCTACTGGTAGACAAAAATGAATTCATCGATATAAATTCTCCAATACTTTCTTTTATTCGTTCCAGTTCCTTCGTTTTCATTACCTGACCTCGATAGACTTCGAGAATAGGATCAGTGTCAGTTGACTGTTGCAGTTGTTTCAACTGTTCGTGAACATCTTTGATCACGAAGCCAAATGTAAACAGTAAGTCAATGTTCTGTGTTCTCAATGCTCGATTCAATAGTCGATAGAGAAAACTCTCGCGCGTATACCAGTACAACGCGCGATCAGATGAGTACGTCTGTTCAAATTCACGAAGATTGTCGAGTTCTGCAGCGATTCCTTTGTATTGCTGTTTGCACAGGTCGATTAATTCTTGTTGTGACTTTGGTGAGTATTTTATGCGCAGAAGAATGTCGATGAGTAATTGAAAATAGAGGAAAGATGAGTTAAGCCCTGACGAGGATTCTTCCTTGTTTTCAGCTCGATTAAAGACACTCAATGAACAGGTTAAATCCTCTTCCTTGGCTCTTTTTGCCTGGTCTTTTTGAATTACTGATACAAGTTCGTCGAGTTGGACAGTAGCAGCCTTCATCTAAACACAGAGTAACGATAAAGTCACCAAACAACGTCTGCATGTGTCTGTATACCTCTGAATGATGTTTAGTCCATTCATTCGCTAAGTTTTTATCGTAACAGTAAACATAGATGGAAAACAACTGTGGCAGATGTTCAATCCGGGGAACTATTTCTCCGGCAAATCTCTCCGAGACGATAAGCACAATTTTCTGATCATCGCGAATCGCTCGAATATGCTTTTCACATTCTTCTTTGTCTTCGAATGTTTTCAACTCATTGATAACTTCACGTAATTTCTGTTGGACTTCTATGTTCTCTTCTGTTTCATTGACCGATGGATCCAGCCATAGCAGTATAAGTCCTGTCAAATTTGGGAATAACTGTGGCTGTTCTTGGTCAGGAGATGAAGTCATTGTCCTTAACATGAACGACGAATTGATTTTATATTATTCTATATGAATGTTAATGGAATTTTACCTTTGACTTTTGTTTTAATATTGGACTGAATGTTTTCACAGCATGTTCCGAAAGATACCTGAAAGTAAAGTGGATATACAAACTATTTGGTGTTCTTTCTATTCTGTCTGCTTATTCCATTGACTGTAAGTCTATGGTGATATGAAAAAGTACGAAGTGTTTGTGTGTTTGTCCGTACAGAGGTGTGAAGGGACGTAAGCACACACGGTGACGGACGTACATACATATAGTGACCAGTGAGTGTGATGGACGGGCATACACAGAAGCACTAATGAGTATCACGGACAAAGATCCACATGGTACATGCGCTCGCGTTTTCTGGGGAATCAGAGACATGGAACACCTATCCTGGCTGCGAGGAGGTCAGATAAAACGAAAGTCAATTACAGAGACGTTGTCTGGAATTCAGAAGTGTTTGTGAATCTCGGGGGTTCTTTCGGCGCCCTGGAGAAAACTTGTATAGATTGAAGCTACTTTACGGAGCTGACACATCATATCAGAGAAGTATTCATAACTCATGGTAGATAGTCCCTAGCGATCACCGACCGCGGGGAGGTGTAAGCGTTGTTTGGACGAAGTAGGCGAAACGTTGCCCCCACTCAGGTTTTGTTATCAAGGGT